TTGATAAACACGGAAGTCTGGCTACCTTGCTCGAGACCACACAGCTAGCGGGCCCTAGAGTCTCACCACAATGGAGTATTGCTCCATTCCTCTGGACTATGTGGACTAAGTGCTCCAGGCTCCTCCTGCCCCGGCCAGATGCATGGGGATTATACTTCACGGTGTCTGCATGGGGCAGCTGATGAGTGCAGCCAGTGAGGCAGGAAACAAGCTCATTTGTCATTTGGGGGCAGAGCATGTAACTGCAGGGACAGCTGTCTCAGAGCTCTTGCTTCCTGGTGTCTCGTCCAGCAGGGCCCAACGCCAGCCAGCCAACCAGCACTAGCTGACTTGAGCAGCTTCCTCCTGTGAATTGTGTTTTAAAGAACTCACCCCAAGGGGCTGGAGAGATGGCCCCGGGGTTAAGAGCACCAGCTGTTCTTGCAGAGGACCTGAGTCCAGCTCCCAGCACCCACTCGGTGGCTCGCAAGCATCCTTAACTCCAGGTTCTGGGAATCTAATATCGAATTCTGACCTCCAAGGGCACCAGGCACAAATGCGGTCCACATACATATATACAGGCAAAACATACACATAAATAACCTAAACAAACCCATTTGTTTTAAAGAAGGAAATCATCTCCTAGGGTAAGAAGGATAGACTTCCTGGTGAACTCGAGGCTTCTGGTGTTCACCTGGCTAATGTGTGTTACGTGGCAAGGGACAAAATGGCAGCCATTCCTCAGCCTTGTTCCCTGCTGTGGCTCCAACAACAGGGGTCTCACCAGCTTTGACACCCAGATGCTCCTCCAGAGACTGGAGGGAGACCACTGTCTGGCTTCCTCAGCTTGCAGAGCCTCTTTGCACCCCTTTCTTCGCAACCCCTTTGCCCATCTTCAGAGCTGGAAGATGGCATCTCGCCTCAGACATTGCATTGCCGCCTTCTCCTCTGACAAATCTCCCTCTCTCTCACCTGCAGCCTTCACCTTTCCTTTCGGTGGTGCTAGACATGAAATTTAGGACCTACTGCCTGCTAGTGGGGTGCTCTGCTATGGAGCTCCGCACCCAACCCCTGCCCCCCTTTACCTGTAATCCCAGATATTCTTCCTAGCCCAGCTGACTCAACTTGACACACCTGTGAAGCCCCTTCTATCCCTCAAGGACAGCGTCTCAGTGATGGAGATGTGCCGATCTCAAAAGTGTGCGGGGAGCTGACTACACAGTTTTATTCTCGCTTTTCACAATGACAGTTCAGCCAGGAAGTCTAACCAAGTGCTAAGTGGTAATCCGCTGGTGCAGATGGAAGTTCTGAGAGCGCCACATCCTTCAGTGGGCAATCATCTTTCCAGCCCTCCCAGAACTGGTCTCAGGCAGGCAGGCAGCCTTCCCCGCCACTCCATCCTCCCGTTCCCTACACACAACAAACCAGTGACAGACAGGCTCCCATCACGGGATTTCCCTTTCCCTGACACAGTCCTTGAGCAGGAACAAGGAACTGGCTCTGGCCAGATGCTCTTAATTGTCTATGGTAAGAATGAAAACTAAATTCCTAAGTTGATAATTTGATCTTTTAGCTCTGTGGTTATGTTTTAAGTACAATGTATTTGTTAGCAAGGTTTGACCCTCGGTTCCAAAACCATCTGTCTGGTATTACTCTGGCCTATTGCTTCTCTCAGGAAAATCAAAACAGTAATTCTGTGGCTCCATAAATCACATGGAGACACTTAGAACGAAATGCCCTCGGCCTGTGGCCCTGACTTCTGTTACCCACACAAGTCACGGCAGAGATCCCAGTGGATCTTCAGGCCTGATCCACCTAGAGACGCCACCAGCCTTGGTTCCGTTTAGCACAAGGATCGGAGGCTGCAGTCCTGTCAGGGATGGGTTTGGTTTTGTTTTTATCCTGAGGATGTCAGTTCTTGTGAGAGAAAATGGCTTAGTCTGCCCTATCCGCAAGGAGAAAACACACGTCAGAAAACCACTGCCGAGTGAGTAAGCGCTGGCTCCCTGGGAGGCCACCACAGAGCAGCCCGGCTTATGTTGGCAGCGCATGGGAAAGCACCCCATGCTTGTCTGTACACACAGGCGTCCCTGTGAGTGTGGGATGGAGGTGGGGGTGGGGTGGGGATGGGAAGACTCAAGGAGGCAGGCAGGGCAAGCTCTGTGGTGCAGAGACAAAGAACTCTGCCAGCCACGGTAAGCTGGTGTGACACATGCAACTGTGAAGGTTCTGCGCATGTGTCACATGACCACGTGAGGCAGTGTGGAAGGGCAGTACCAGCTGCACCCTCTCAGCGCAGCCTGCCCGGACACTGTAGCTTGGTGCACCAATCTGCTCTCCACCCTGACATGTTAAGTCATGTGGGAGACAGCAGGATGGCTCCTCAAGGCTGTAGGTGAAACTGAAGCCTCCTTAATGGGGGCTTCCTCAACCGCCTGGGGGCATGCGACGTAAAGATGGCGGTCTTCAAATGTGGCGTCGGGGCAGCACTAGTAGCAGAAGAGAGCAGTATCAGCAGGACTGCGCCCATTGTTGTTGGCTTTGGCCACGGAAGGGATGGTAGGCCAAGCACTGTGGGTGGCCACTAGAAGCTGGAAGAGGCCAGGAAACCAATCCTTCCCTAGAGCCTTCAGAAAGGAATGTTGATCTCTTGTTGATATATTGGTTTTCACCCAGCAAGACTCAAGTCAGACTAGTGTGCTACTGAACCGTAAGACACTATGTCTGTGTTGTTTTAAGCCTCCACGTTTGTGATAATATCCTAACAGCAATTGGGCGCTAACAGAGAAACGGCCGAGGCTCTGAGGGTGTTAAGGCTCCCAAGCGATTCTGATCTGCAGCAAAGTCTGGGAGCCCTGAGATAAGGGTGTGCTGTGAAGCTTGCTCATGCTGGGACCCACGTGGCAATTTTACCTCAGAGGGCATCAAGTCCCACACAAAACCATGCATCCTGCATTCCCAGTCAGGTCCCCATGGACACCACGGCCTGCACTCACCACAGAATGACATGTTCATCAGTTTAGGTCAGAACCCCTACCCGCAACAGGCAAATTTCCTTGAAATGAAAAATAAACAAACACCAGATAGCCCAGGCTTTCTAAATAAACCTTATTATCTTACCAGTACTGTCTCACGGGGAAGGAACTGACCAATGCCTGGATCAAACACAAATCCATAATCGGCCTGTTCACAGCACCAGCAGGGAAAGGAACAAGCTGTGCCCACAGTGCTCAGCTGTCGAAGGTCACATCAGGACTGAGGAGACAGAGGGCTCTCCATTTGCTTACGCATCTATTTGCGTGTGACCGACGCTCAACAGCTGGATTTGTTTGTTTATGATGGAGAAGTGGCCTGAAACCATGAGAACGATGACCACACTGCTTCTCCCCATCAAGCAGGGAAGTGCCTGCTGTATGCAAGCGCAGCCTGCAGAGAGAGAATCCACCCTCCCAGGACTTCCACGCCCACCCCCATGTGATGCTACCTTCCCTCAGAAGGTACCTACCCACCCACCACGGTCTTGTCCCTGGAGCTGAAACGGTGGAACCTTCACAGCACTTTCACCTCCCTACCCTGTCTTTCTTGGCGAGGAAGCCAGTACAACTGAAAAGCAAGCCACCTTCAGGAAAGAGTTTCGGCCCCACCTTTTATAAAAGACATGGCACTCAGAGGTCTCTGCAAGTCCGAGCTTCGCTTGCAGGATGAAGACGTCACCTCCCTTTCCCCCTGTGGCGTACAGGGCATGATTCGGGGAAGAGTGCCCAGCCTGCCATGAGAGCGCCCACACAGACCAGGGCAGCACAGTGATGCTGAAGCTTCTCCAGCTTCCTGTCCTGTCTTCTCACCAGTCCATTGCTGCAGACTGGATGCCTCCATTTGGCCCTTTCCTTGGCATCTCCCGCTGGACGCGGCTAGTTGGGACTCACAGTCGTCACACCTCTCGACTGCATCCCTCACGGTGGCAGCTCTGGCTGTTCCCTGCATGGGTCCCAATCTCCTGTCCTACCGTTCCTCTTGCTCAGGTTCCCACCCCGTATAGAACTCAAGCACAAGAGCCTCCAAGCCCCCAGGCTCCAGAGCACAGCGGACTACAGGTTCCTCTTTCTCAAACCACATCTGTCGCATCAAACCCTCAACAGACACTCTGTTCTGTACCTGGTCACTTAGGATGGGAGAAAAGCAAACTGCACTGGGTGCAGACATGATAGATGAGGCCCACACAGCGTTGTTATGCTTTGTGCCAGGGTACCAAACACTGAGCAATTTCACATCCTCCAAAAAGAGGAAAAGCGTGGAATGGGTAAATCAGAAAATACTTCTCAAAAGCCAGGCGCAGTGGTGTATGGCTGTAATCCCAGCACTTGGGGAAGCAGAGGCAGGCAGATCTCTGTGAGTTCGAGGCCAGCCTGGTCTACAAAGTGAGTATAGGACAGCCAAGGCTACACAGAGAAACCCTGTCTCAAAACAAACAAAAAAAAAAAAACCACACGAAACAAAACTTCTCAAAATAGTAAGAGCGGGTGTTGCCAGCACACAACTATAATCTCAGGGCTTGAGAAGCAGACACAGAAGGAAGCAATGCAAAGTCAAAGCTAGCCTTATCTATAAAGTGAGTTTAAGGTTGCCAGGGCTATAATAACCAAAATTACTCTGGTGGTGGTAGCACAAGCCTTTAATCCTAGCACTCGGGAGGCAGAGGCAGGTGTATCACTGGGAGTTTGAGGCCAGCCCGGTCTACACTGAAAAATCCTGTCTTGAAAAACAAAACAAAACAAACAAAAATAGCAGCAACAACAAAAACCTAAATTAAAGCAGTCACTGAGAACTGGAAAGATTTTAGTGACATTTCTTTACACAGCACTTTATAACTGCAAGGTAAGTTGTCCACAAACTACCACAACAGCAAGAGGCCACCTCAGCTGCCACCAGCAAACCCTGTGTCGCACAGTCAAAGGGACTCACAGTCACATGAGCCCGTGGTGTTTACACCAGAAGCAATCGGCCACCCTCCGACTCCTTACCATTCTGTTCGTCCAGCTCATTCCCAATCTCCTGGCCCATCTGCTTCTGGCGACTTATGATAGAGGAAAGGGCATCAAGACCCGCGTCCTGTTCTGAAAGAAAAGGAAAAACAACTAAAAATCCAAGGGAAACATTTGCAAGCTAATATAAGCACAGATATGCATGTATATAGAGACTGATACACACACACACAGGGACATCCCTCCAGGCAAGGGACACTCTTCAACAGAGGACATGGAGGACAGTGGCTGGCATTAAATACCTCACACCCCAGACTTCCATGATTTCCTCAGAAATTAAATACTTAAATATGAAACAGAAATTGTCCTAAATTTGGCTTCACCAACATTTAACCCGCTAACATGTAATGCCATCAGAACATGTATAATCAACAATATGAAAGAAGGGGGAGATAGAAAGACCTGGAAGGGACAGGAGCTCCACAAGGAGTACAACAGAACCAAAAAATCTGGGCGCAGGGGTCTTTTCTGAGACTGATACTCCAACCAAGGAGCATGCATGGAGATAAACCTGGACTTAAAAATATGGAAAATAGAGATGTACAAGGCTAGCTGAAGTGTGAGGGGCCTGTAGCTCCTGAGCACTATGTGGTAGGAAGGTCAGTTCAACCCAGACAGAAATCCTTGAGGGTTCAATCACCCCAGTCTCACTTAGTCCAGGAAATGTACTTAAGAAAATATGCAGCACAGAGGTAATAATCTACACGGAGCTTCCCAAAAACATACCCACTGTGCTGGAAACCAACTTCCTGCCTCGGTTTATCTTCTGACTACTCTGGAACTCTTCCTGGAGCCCTTTTTCCCCTGTACCAGGTACAACACTTAACACTGATCGTGAGTCTGACTGATGCTTCTAGCATCGCCTAGAAGTCAAGCCTGCGGCCAGGCCTGGAAGAGATTGTCTTGCTCAGGTTATGAGGTGTGCAGCTGGCTGAGCATGAGCACAGTGCGACCAGTGGCTTCAAGCTCCTGCCACAGGACCCTCCCCACCACGGCAGACTCCACCATAGAGTGGAATGAACGCTCTCTTTCTTTACTCGCTTTTGTTGTGGTATTTTATTACATCCATAGGAAACATAACCAAGATGCCAGGTCTTAGTAACTTCCTGGGTCCAGCCTTCTTTCTTGGGTGTCTCTCCCTCAGGCCTCCCTTCTTCCTGGTTCTGTTCTGGACAGCCGGACAGGGCTGGTACCTGCCAAACATACCCTCTCTCACAGCACTCTGTGCCCAAACCTTCTCTCCTGACAGACTCCTTTGGTGCTTGCTGCTTAATTGATGGCCAACTGCTGTGAAGCACAGTGGCACCCAGAGGTCAGGGCCTCCCCTACACACCTCTTCCCTGGGTGTTTCTGAAGGAGCAGCTCCACTGAGGTGCTTTACATTGAGCAGGGACTGTGGGGTCTACACTTCACCTCTGCGTGCCGGCTCATGGCAGCGGGGTGCCGGCTCCAGCTTTACTTCTTCGTGTGTTTCAGCGCTGCTTCACCTGACAGCTCATCTATGAATGCAGGAGCACGGAATACTCACTCAGGGCTGACACCTATTCAGGGCACTGTGTAACTCTTCTTTACGGAATTAAGTCATTATACTTAGCTCTTTGATTCACCTGGAATTTATTTAAACAAGGTGTGAGGCAAGGACCCCTTGGTGATGTTTTTTGACACAGTGTACTTTTTAAAAGCTATAAACAGCCTGCTGTGTCTAGGGACCACTCCACGGCACCATTTTACTGCAAAATCGCTTTATAATGAGGTCCTCTTGGTCCTTAGTAGCAACCTCCTGGATGGCCTCCAAGACAAATCTATCATCAAACTCGCAGTGCTGAGGGATGTCCACGATACAGCAGAAGTCCAAATGTAGCCAGAGAATAATCCAAGATGGACTGAGGGTCAGTGCACTGCGAAATGATGGGAAAATGGCTGAGAAGCAGAAAGCAACTTCCTCTAAGGTTGTCCACTAGGAAAAGATACTGAAGCCCTGACATTGTTTTAATAATGACACAAATGTCGGTGAAAAATAGCTACACTAACCTTTTCTCCCAAGTCGGCTGTCTCCTAAAGGTCTCCCTGATGCACAACAGAAAGGAAAAACTCCTCTACTCTTATAATTTCTGTAACCCATCATCATCCCACAGTCCACACTGGAAGATGCCGGGTAGGTCAAAATGACCCTGTCGATCACCTGAGATTCTCTGAGCTAAAAACTGACCTTTCTAAGAGGCACTGGGCCAGGCTTGGTGGCACACGCCTGTAGTCCCAGCACTCTGGGAGGCAGAGGAAGACGGATCGCTGTGAGTTTAAGGCCAGGCTGGTCTACAAAGCCAAGTCCAGGACAGCCAAGGCCACACAGGGAAGGAAACCCTGTCTCGAAAAAACAAAACGAAACAAAAAACCCAAAAACAAAAAACAAAAGAGGCAATGGTTTGGCCACTTAGTAATAATCAAAACAAAAGACGGCTTCCAACAAAAATATCAGGCTCACTGCAGACAATCCACTTACAAACAGTGGAAGTGGGACACTGAAGCGCTTTACACTGACCAGGGCCTGTGGGGATCTACACATAACAGTTTATTCATACTCCATACTCCACCTCGCTCTATCACAGGGTCCAAGGCCTTGGTCATGGTGTCACAGCGGGTCATTTGCAACATACCAAATCGGAGTCATTCTTCTACTTTACAGTGATGTAGATTTTAAGACATGATCAGCATGGAAGGATAAATAATGCATGTGTACACACACACCCTGACACAGCCAAGATGTCCAAGTCGGAATCCCTGGAACTTGAAACTATGCTACTTTCCATGGAAAAGGCAGCTCTGCAGATGTGAAGATGAAGGGGGTGAGTCTGGAGAATCTAGGTGAAGCTAACACGATTCTATTAGCTCTGAGGGACAGAGGTTGCCCAGCCACTATCAGAAAGACACATGGCAGAGGATTAGAGGGATGCAGCTGCTGGCACTGACCATGAAGCTATGAGCCAGGAAATGAGGATCTTCTAGAAGCTGGATAAGGCCAGGGACAGAGTCTGCCCGAGGGCCTCCAGAAAGGAATGCAGCCAGCTAACACCTTGATCTGAGTCCCTGGAGACCCAGGCTGAACTTCTGACCTTTAAACTGCAGTAATGTGAGTTTTAAGTCACTACATGCGTGCTAATTTATTGTGGGAGCACGAATACACTCATTCCTGAGAGTCCCTTTGGAACAATTAGATGTGCAGCTACTTCCTATAGTTAGACAGATGGTTTTCCAGGGAAACCATCCTCTAAAGAAGAATCACCCAACGGTGGGAGGACAGTTTGGTGGCAGTAGATAAAAAACAAAGGGACAGTCATCAGAATGTATCATGCCAAAAACAACAAGCCTGGTTCTAAGCAAGCCACTAAATCTAACAAATTTACAGAAAATATCTGGGTCACAGAATCTGCTGAACAACTTACACGGAGAACACACTGCAAGAACGAGCTAAGGGGAAACCACAGGGTAAACAAGTCTGTTTAACAAAGAAACTGCAAAGGAGGGCTGCAGAGATGGCTCAGAGGTTAGGAGCACTAGCACTGGCTGTTCTTCCAGAGGGCCTGAGTTCAATTTCCAGCAACCACATGGTGGCTCATAACCATCTATAATGAGATCTGGTGCCCTCTTCTGGTGTGCATGCACACATGCAGACAGAACACTGTATTCATAATAAATAAATTAACTAATAAATAGGAACTGCAAATGAAGACAGACTAGTCTGTAAAGGATTAAGCCACTTCAGGGATGCATCAATTGGCCACAATTTGCAACCTACATCCAGACCCTGAACCAGAGAGTCTAGGGAAAATACTGCAGAAAAATCAGGGAAATTGGAAACTGTCTGCTATTTGATTGCTCTGAGGGATGGTTTCTATTTTTGCAGGAGTGATGGTTGCATTTTAGTCTTTTTTTATAATTTTGTTTAAACGGTCCTGACCCAGAGAGATGACGCTGAGGTTAGGAGCTCATCCTGCTTTGCAGAGGACTCAGGTTCAGTTCCCAGCACCCACACACTGGGCGCCTTACAGTCACCTCAACTCCAGGAGAACCGACACTCTCTTCTCGACTCATGGGCACCCATGGTCACGTGTGTGCAGAACACACACACACACATGCACTCAGAACATGATTTAAAGAGAAATAAACCTATCTTTTTTTTAAAAAAAAAGTCTTTATATTTTATAAGCATATTTTAGGATATTTAGATAGTATATTCTGAAGTATTCACCACTGAAATGACGTAATGTCTGGGGTTCACTTTATAAATAGTTGAGTATGTGTGTAGGGAGCTCGGCCCCAGGGCCCACAGTAAAGACTAGGTGTGGGGCATGTGCATGTCATCCCAGCACTGGGCAGCAGAGCCAGGAGAGCGCCGGGTCCCGCTGAGCAGCTAGCCTAGCTAGCCGGCAGGCCCCAGGCCTCCGTAGGAGGAAGAAGGTAGATAGCTTCTGAGAAACACCCAAAGGGATCTTTGACCACCACATGTACAAGAAAGCGTGTGTATATACACACACAGTCCTGGAGGTAGGTAAGGGGGTACATACGCATAAAACCAAACTAGCTATTGGGAGAAGATTACTGAGGCAGGGCGAGGGAAAGAACACAACTTCCTCTACTGTGTCTGAAGTTCCCCAGAGCAAAAAGTCATCAACGTGTTACTAACTAAGGGGAGGAGGCCAGAGATGTGACTCAGCCGTAGAACACTCGCCTCCCACGCGCAAGGCCCCGAGTTCAGTCCCCAGCACCATCTAAACTAAAGCAAGCAGAGGGACCGGAGCCTGCATGACGGGGACCTCAGGGTTGACAGTGCTCTCCTCCTTCGCTTAGAGCCCAGCTGGCGGCACAGAGAGCTCCCTGTGTTAGCAAGGACCCACACATGGACCCTCTGCTGTGTCTGAGTCAGCACGTGGCCACAGAGGGCTTCTCTGGCTTTCTGGGAAAAACAGATAACAGTTTCTGTTTCATACAAAGACTCTGGCATCACTGCGTTTAGTCCTCTAAGTTCAGGAAGCCAAAAAAAAAAAAAAAAAAAAAAACCCCAAACAGTTGATGTT